TCGATTATAGCAAAGCTCAAGTTAAACTGATCGATTTAAAGTCAATTGTTTCGAATTCGTGAGTTGTCTCCGTGATGATTTGGCAGAATAGTTTTCAAACAAATTAAAAGACTTTTTATTTTTTCGCTATTGATACACATAGGAAATGAAACTAGTTTTCCGGATTTAAATCGCGTATATTTGTTTTTTCAAACAAACCGACGTTTCGGGCCCTTTACAGGTCCCATGGTCAAGGTTGACTGAGGTGGTACAGTTTTCAACCAGTTTGACGCGGGTACAAATACTTCGCTTCATTTGTCCAATATAAGAGAGACCGTACTCACAGTCAAGCTTGTAAACTCCTGCATCCTGTAAAGGGATGTTACATTCCACGGATCTCAGGAACTGAGAAATCTTCCTTAGGGGCTTGAAATAGGTCGTGATAGATGCACGACTGAGGACTCTTCCGATCTTGTCTGTAACACCTCTCACTTAAGGTAAAATGTCAAAGAACATATAGCTGATGTCAAACACCGTCGCGTAAACAAGTCTGCAGTCTGCGAGCATGTCGTTTTGACGTTACAACAATTGACTGTCGTGACAATGCGAAGAGCTAGAGCGACAATCATTCGACGATAAATAAAACGTCACGATAAAAATGTGACGACAAATAATCGCAACTTCAAACGATTCTGTCGTGCAAACGACAAGGCGGCTACCGTGAACCGATGATTTGTAGTTACGATCTAGTGGGAACAGCTAGACACGATAGTCGTTCGTTCTACGATAAAATGAACGTCCACTACACAGTCACTATAGATAGTCGTGATATGGGAGCAGGCTAGACGCGACAGTCGTCCAACGATAAATAAAACGTTATGACATAATGTGAAGGCGTCCTAACGTCTATACAGAAATTAGATCGGTCGCATAGTAAATGTGGTCACCCTACTCTTTTTTTGCTAATGTTCGATTAGTAGATATCAAGTAGATATAGAGTAGACAAGAAATGACAGAACGGTTAACGCATACAGGGTGTTTTAATCGAGACGTCAAATTTTAAATATAAATAAAAAAGTTAAATCAATGTTGTTATTAATTTTTATTCATTCATAAATTCGCGACTGTGGTGTAATAAGGTCATATCTGTGGAAAGACAACTTTTCAGGAGATAGGTTTAAAGTTTCTACGTACGAAATTAGTAGGTAACTTTTGGAGAGAGTTATAAAATTTCACATCTGGTACGTAATTTGTTTTATATACTTTGTATTATTTTTATGACTTTCATGTTATAACACGTAACTTTATTTGTTAGAAACAAGTCATATAAAATAAAGTTGATTTGCAGTATTTTAAATGATATATAATTCTCGTTAGAACAATTTTAACAGAGGTACGTGTTCACCAAGCACCGGCAGAACCAACAAACACCAAACATATAGGAAACATTATACAATACAGTTTTATCTTTCTTTATTTCTATATTATATAGTGCAACGCACTCTTAGATAAGTACTAAATCTATCTTCAACATTACATCAATTATACAGGGTGGAAAAAATCAATGGGACATGAAGAGGAATTACCTTCAATGGTTAAGATAGCCAATTTTACTTAAAGGAACATTTATTCTATTTTTTTTATTTAAATTTTTGTATTGAATTGATATTCAATTATTTTTTGTGAAATTACTCCACTAGTTTGTTATAATTATTAATACAAAGATCGAACACTCAGAAAAAACACTCAGAAAAAATTCCTTCGATCCGGTTAATTAATAAAAAATTATGTTTTTTCTGATCTTTGTATTAATAATTTAAATAAATATTAAATTTTTTTTTTTAAATAACGCACACACTCAACATAGCCCCACACTAGGGAAACCCTGTGTCGCGGGTGCCATGGACACACACATAGACAACCACAAATTACACCCAAACTCACGAGAGAAATAAATGTAAGCCATACAAACATTTCTCCCGGCCCGGGAATCGAACCTGGGACCTCTGCGTGGCAGTCCGGCATGGTAACCGTTCGGCCACGGAGGCAGTTTTTCAATTATAACAAACTAGTGGAGTAATTTCACAAAAAATAATTGAATATCAATTCAATAAAAATTTAAATAATACAGAGAATAGCGACATCTCTCGCCAGGACTGGTAGCTGTAAAGGTACTAATTGGGTGATGAATCGGTCAACGATTTCTCATAGATGGCGCTACGACTAAAAAGTCATTGAAAGACCAAGTACAAAGACACGACGCAAGCACATAGAGAAATTCGTGAGGTCCGTTGGTTCGTTCCGTGGCTTAATTGGTATAGCGTCTGCCACGGTATGCAAGAAGACGTCGGTTCGTATCCGACCGGATCGAATGAATTTTTTTGAGTGTTTTTTCTGAGTGTTCGATCTTTGTATTAATAATTATAACAAACTATTTTTTTTAAATTTAATATTTGTATTCGTAGATTTTTTTAAACGCTTACTTTAGCCGGGCATCATACCAACTACAAATGTAAAAAATAATACTCTATACTTTTTGCACTAATCTATAAGATTAATAAAATTATGCGCATGAAATCCCTCCAATAAAAATTGGGTTTGACTATTAAAGACACCCATGAAATCCAATATTAATCGAATATTACTATCGACTTCTGTCGTTAGATTCACGGATCAAGTAAACTTTTCAAAAAACGTGTGAAAAAAATAAATTTAAGTATTTAAGATAGTTTTTCTTCTTGTCCCATTGATTATTTCGCCCAGTATAAAGTTGACTAGGTGTATAGGTAGTATTTTCTATTCAAAACTTCTTTCTAACTTAAAACAAAATCTCGCAGACCTTTCGAGGTCACTCTTTGCCTGTTGCTGATTATACTGACAAAGCTCCTGTCAGATAAAATCGGGCAACTTTATACTTTACTTAATAGGTTCTTCGAAAGTTAATTTTTCTGGTCTCCGCTGAACTGACTGGGGAATTATTCAATCAGTAGATAGGTATTATCGAGTCTCTGATGGCAAATGATAATTTATGGAACCATTTTCGTAATTAGGTGGATACTTTCATATCGACCGTGGAAAGTAAGAAGAGCTAAGCTTATTTTGAAAATTAATTATACCTAGGTAGTAAAATCTGTGCATAAGTTTTCTTTTCTTCAGGGTAAAAACTTTTTTTTTTAATAATATAAGTGACGGGACGAACGTCGTCGAGCCCCTGATAGTAAGCTACACGTCCATAACAGATGCAGTGCCACTCAGAGCTTTAAATCGCAAAGATCTGAGGGGCACTGCCACTGCGCACATCACCCTGAGACTTATGTTGACAAGTCCATATGCTTGTAATTTCACCAACGCCATTCAAAAGTGACATTTTAAGTCATTGACTTACAATTATATGGACGTCGGGTCCGCGCTAAAAAGTGTCCGAACTTATAGGGCGTTAAAATCGTATACAGAGCGTCATTCACGCTTTAGTCTTCGTTTGTTCGACTGGCAGCGAAGCAAGCAAAATTAGACAGTACTGCGATGACATTACAATTTAAATTCAACGTTTTAGCTTTTTCATATTCCTTTACATGTCACTACGTTTAAATTGGTTGACTTGGGACATTTTTTTGTATTAGACCCGTCGTCCATTTATTTGTAAGGCAATGTTTTAAGTCAAAAAAGTAACCGTGACATATCGGCTTATATATATATTTGTTGCTTACGTGTTGTTTAATACAACCGGTAAGTAGTTTTAGTAGCAGTAAAAGTTCTTGTGAAAGAGTTCGTCCAGGGAAGTACTGGCCTATTACTTATTTCTGCCGCCAAGCAAGGGTGCTGGTGAAATTACAGGCACATGGGACCTGTCAACTTATGTCTCAGGGTGTCGGGCGGAGTGGCCATGCCCCTCAGATCGTTACGGTTTAAAGTTCTGAGTGGCATTGCAATTATTGTATATCGATGTTATAAAATAAAAGTAATTGTAGCACTTGTATTGGAAATCAGAAACAACGATTGTACCACAAACACCCAGACCCGAGAAATACGGAAAATTTCGTTTTCTACATTGACCCGGCCGGGGGTCGAATGCGGGACCTCAGAGATAGCGAATCCATGAAAACCGGTGTGTAAGCCACTCGACCACAGAGGTCGTCGAAACATTTGCATTCATAAATGTTCATCATCATCATCATCAACCTATTTATATGTCCCACTACTGGCCACGGGTCTCCTTTCAGACGAGGTTTTAGGTCATAGTTCGCCACACTGGCCCAATGCGAGTTGGGGACTTAACACGTTTTCCGAGAGTTGTGAACCTTCTTCAACGTGCAGGTTTCATCACGAGCTTTTCCTTCACCGAAAAGCTCATGATAAATTTCAAATTAAATTTCGCACATAAATTCCGAGAAACTCAGAGGTGCGAGCTTGGACTCGAACCTACGACCTTCTGCTTGAGAGGCAGTAGGTCAAACCATTAGGATACCACGGCATAAATGTTCGTAACTTAGTAATTAAAGTCATAAATACATGCTGCCTTAGGGATTCGAATTGTCTCGAGCCCTCTCAATAACAGTAAGCTCAATACTGTTTTAATATAAATGTTTATGATTACTTGTTATTTTGATAATTACAATAAAAGCTTAAATTCTAGAAAGTAAAACTAGGATTTTTAAATCATATGAATAAAATTGTGTTGCAAGGTGCCCGAGATGCTGGCAGCGTTCCCCCTTTGTATGGCTATACTAATGCTCTTGGATTTCCCAGACAGACTATTTTTTAATTTTTGACATAATGAATAATATGGTTAACTTATTTATTTATTTATTTATAAAGAAAACATTCTTGCGGACTTACAGCGTAAGCCAAAGCATCCAACAAGACTTAAACTTAAAGATAATGTAAAAATATAACATACAAAACTTAAAAACTAAACAAAGAAACAAAATAAATGCAGACTACTTTACAAAATTTACTACAATCATCTTAAAGCGCTGAGGCTGAGGAGCGGCCTCCCGGATCTGAGCCAGAAATCGTTGAGCATGGCGGTGGCTATGGTGGTGGGTGCGTTGCAGGCGTGCTGGGTAACCTATATTTAGTCCTCACCGGCACAGGCCTCCTCACTTATTGAGAGAACTTGAGCTGCAGTTCCCACGCGTGCCCAAAGCTGTGTGGGAATCGAGTATATATAACCAGAAATAGAGACGAAACAAGGGCATTCCGTCCCTGGCAACTCATCAGGTAAATGGGCCTTATAAAGATCAATTCTCGTTTGCGCTGAAATAACAAATTAAAAAGCTGAATAACAATTGACCAGTGTGTACGTCACCAAAAATATTCTGTATTGTAAACAACATATAATATCTCTAACAATGGGCTGTTCCATTCGGTGGTGTGGGAAAAAACAGCAAAATATCTAATTACAAAACAACGGAATCACATTAAATATTAAATATGGAATTTTTAAATTTTCGTCCATTATAGCAAAGATTAAGTTAAACTGGTCGATGTGAAATGAAACAATTGACAACACCCGTCAATTGTGGCGCATCGGGGCCCTGGCCAATCGGGGCGCAGTTGTCACCGTAATGATTTGGCAGAATAATTTTCAAATAAATTAAATGACATTTCGTCTCTATTTCTGGTTATATACTCGATGTATACACATCACTAAATTACTTTGCAGATGTGTAGGTCAACCAATACCACGACTACTTTATTTGTTATAATTTATTTAATATTATTAATTATTATTCTGATTGGACAATAAGTTCAAATACATTGGTACAATAAAAGCCCAAATACTAGAAACTAAAACTAGAATTAAATTATATGAATAAAATTGTTCCCATGTGGCAAGGTGCCCAAGATGCTGGCAGCGTTCCCCCTTTGTGTTGCTATGCTAATATGTTGGGTGAGGTAGCTGCCAGCCCTTGGGTTTCCTAGACAGTCTACAAATTCTTTTAATAAAAAAGACAGTCAAGAGTCAAGTCAAGAGTTTCGACACCAAAGGGTACGTAGGGATAGGTAGTCAGAGCCGAGGTCCTGGAACTTATTACATTATTATCTATTTATCTTTTTTTTTCAGATCACAAATCGACGAAAGGCTCCGTGGTTACACTTTCGTGTTATAAGAGTAAGTGTAATAATACCGTAATACAGTTGATTCATCATGTTATAAAAATAATCAGTAATGTTAGGATATTCGGCGACGTCATCGGCGTGAAACCGGCGCGGGAGTGGGGTAAATTTTTTAGGTATTTAAAAAACCACTACAACACTGTTTAACCTTTGTATTCACTTTCAACGTTTTTTACAATTCAACTTGTACTTTACTATTATACAGGTGTAGGTATAGCTAAAAATACACTACTGTAAAAATCCCATAAAATATTTGGTTGAACCACTTTTGCATATCCCAATTTACCTCATATCATATCACAAAAGCGTGTGTCTATTATGTATAAAAAAGTGCAATAAAAAATATTTCATTCATTTAGGTATTCATTTAAATAATTATTTAAATCTAGTATGAATAAAATGTACGTGGACAGGAACTTAATGCATTTCAATTGTACATAAATATTGTATTGAAATTTAAAAAGGTAGATACTAAAAAGCTGATTTTTTAAATTTGTTTTTACGCCGGTCATTTTTTCCGTTGATTTCCCGCTCGGGTAAGCTTTTAAGAATAAATCTGTGAATGCAGTTATTCAAATTACTTACTTATTTCGCTGGCTCAGCGACTGAAGTGGATCTTGGCCTCCGACACCAAAATACGCCATTTCTGTCGGTCTTGTGCCAATTCCGACCGTTCGGACACATTCAGTTCGGTAATCTATCACAAACTCGAATTTCTTTTTTCCGAATTTCATTAGTCCGAACACGGTCCGACTTTTTTCATTAGTGTGATGACAGTTTTGGTATAAATTTGCAACACAGAAATGTCTTACAGCAGAAGTATCGTTTGTCCGAAAACCTATTGTTAGAATAATTATTACAATTACGTATTCTTTGGGCAGAAGTTTGATTGGTCTGATCATGTTTGTTTGTACTGTTTGTTTTCCATATAATTTAGATTGCTGAAAATTCGTTTCGACAAAATTACTATTCTTAGATAAAATACCGCCATACAATTTTACCATACAGCTCCAAAATTCTGGACTGTACTTTGCCGGTGCACAGCATGTCCACTTACGTAATTTTCATCATATCATTATGCTAATATAATATATTATTTTTGCGGTTATCTGAAATGTAATTTAAAAACAATGGTCTTCAGTATTCAATAAATAACTGAATCGAGGAGAGTACCTTTTTTTATTGTGTGTTTGCATTACCTAGACGGTACGACTCTCACCAGTAGGTTTAGGTTAGGTTTGTATATGAAATTGCCGCACGAGCCGAGAGAGCATAGCGAGTGAGTTGCGGCAGCGGCCGTCGAGTGCCAGAGCCGAATTTGTTTGCATTATCTAGACGGTACGACTCCCTCCTATAGGTTTAGGTTAGGTTAGTATATGATAAAGCCGCAAGAGTCGAGTGAACGACGCGAGCGTGCCGCGGCAGCGGCCGGACAGTGCCAGAACCGAATTTCTTTGCATTACCTAGACGGTACGATCCCCTCCTGTAGGTTTAGGTTGGGTTAGTATATGAAAAAGCAGCACGATCCGGACGACCAAAGCGAGTGACTACAACCTGACCAAATTAACTTGCATCTCATTTACCATGTTTTCTAAAGATGCGAATTGCTTTAATTTGACGAGTTGTATTGTGCGACATTATAATACTTTAATAATATAACAAAAATGTATCATGGATATAGTTTTTTTACAAAATAAAAATTTTCAATTAGATACATTGGTCAAACGGTTTGTTGGGGAAATAAAAATCGGGAAAAGAATAACTTGTCAATATGTCAAAATAGTGAAACATTAAATGGTGTAATGAAAAAAACCGTAACGTGTTTCAGGACA